TGGGTTGGACATGAAAGGAGGGCTTGCAATTCCGAGGTCTTGGAGTCCTCGTCCATAGAATACGCCACATATGCAAAGAAAAGTGACGAGTCGAGGCCTCACTTGCAAGATAATAATTAAAATACACTAAAACACTGTTTTGTGTGTGCATGTGATCATGAAACCATATTGTATTCACTAAGCTTTTTGCTTATACTATACATGTATATATCTCAGGTGTCATTTGTCAGTAAACGAGTGAACGAAGAAAGACGGGACTATGTTTTGAATCATGATTGATTAGATATTTTAATTAGCATTGATTACGTTAAAGTATTTTACGCTTCCGCAATTATGTAACGAATTATGTTAAACATATTATGTGTGTTTAAAATTTTAAGTTCGTATTTTTGATCAAGACATAAGTTATTAAGAATGACGTCACGGCACTCGAAAGAAAAAAATATCGGGACGTGACAAGTTGGTATCAAAGCCGCAGTTTAAGTGAACTAAGTTATTATTAGCTTAGACTTAAACTAAGAATCAGATGGTGAGAGCTTGTGAAAGACATTATATGATTTTTAGTGATGAAACTCTTAGTCAAAGTGAATTATGAAATTGCTACTTTTTCACTCCTAGGACTAAGGAATGAATCTACCTAAGTTTGATCACTACTTATTTTCTAGACGATATAACCATATAAAGTGACATATATAAATGTATGATTGGTTAAGTTGTGGACCTCCGAAAGGTTACATAGGGCAACAAAAGGATTCTAACTTTTAAGATACCGGTTTGATCWTTTTTRGTAGTCRGACGGATTAATAAGAAGTGTTTGACTTAAGTACCTAGACAATCATTAAGTAATTATGAGTTCTTACTTAGCCATTATCTTAAGTTTCTTTGATAATTTAGAATGCCTAGATACGAGTTAACCAACAACCCTATACAATTGCCTAGTAACTATTGTAAGCCGATGAAAAGTTAGAAGGATGATAAGTGACAACTAAATTTGGAGATAGAAAGTTTCAAAGACTCAGAAAGAAGTACACATGTTAAAGATTACGAGCATTAGAAAAAAAAATCATGAGAAATATGTTTTACTTTGTGATTGATACTTGGTATAAATTATTTGGAACGCGTTATATGATACTTGGATTAAATGATTTTGTTATATGCAAAATTGGTGATAATGTTACATGTATTATATGTATGTATGGCTCGCCTATCTTTATAGTGGGATGGTTAGTGATGGGACGAGTCCCAACCATCGAGCGAGGAAGGAAAATACGTGAAGTTTAATTTTTGTGCATAGTGAAATTTTATAACAAAAATAAAATAGCGTGCATAGGTATACTAAAGGTGGAAATGTTCATTATTATAGAATATCGAAGAGAGTGACAATGTCAATGAATGCTAATGGTCATGAAGATAACAAAGTCGAGGGAGTGACCTCAACCCCAACCCGAAGCCGAAGTAGTCCTAGCAGACCACCAATCCAGCCTACACAGCCAAAAGTGAACATTGCCGAAGAGATGGCACGTTGTGTACGCACTGCTTTACCTGGAATGCTTGAGCAGATCCAAACTGCAACACTTAATATGGTAGAAGATCGTTTGAAGCATAATAGACCTTCGAAAAATGAAACTTATGAAATTAAGGAGTCGACTAATAATGAATCTCTCAATCATGAGGAGTCGAACKKGRAGGCACACTCCGATAATAAAGAAGTTAAGAAACCTGTTAACAAAGGATGTAGTTACAAATCCTTCACCAGCACCCGTCCTTCTATTTTCGAGGGGAAAAATGGTCCTTTAGCAGCTATGAACTGGTTAGACGAGATARAAAGTTGCTTCCTGACTTGTCATTGTGCACCTAGTGACATGTCATAATTTGCATCAACTATGTTTAAGTCAAATGCGCTTCATTGGTGGAAATCAGTTCGTGCCACTAGGGGATTGGCAAACACTGCATCTCTCTCTTGGGATGAGTTTAAGGGATTAATGAGTGAGAGGTATTTCTCTCCACTCAAGATGAGGATATTAGAAAGTGAGTTTTTATGTTTAGAGCAAGGAAGTATGACTGTGGAGAAATATGTAGAGACTTTTATAGAAAAATCTTGATTTGCTGAACATCAAGTCGTTCCCGAGAAGAGAAAGGTAGATCGATTTGTTGATGGACTAAAAAGGGACATTAGGAGATTGGTGGGAATGTCAAAACCTAAGACCTTTCAAGAGGCGGTTGAACTTGCCACCCTTGCTGAAAAGGATAGTTATGTCCCATATGCCTCTAATAAGATATTGAAGAGGAAAGCTGTCAATGTTAACAAGTCCAAGAAAATTCGAGTTTCGGAAGGAAATATTAGAACTTCGACCGCATGTGTCACTTGCGGAAAATTCCATCATGGTGAATGTAGGTATGGTAAAAGAGTATGTTTTAGTTGTGGGCAACTTGGTCATATGTCAAAGGAATGCAAAACAAGATTTACTTGCTACTCATGTGGGGCTGTCGGACATCGCTCCAATGANCTTGTGAAAGACATTATATGATTTTTAGTGATGAAACTCTTAGTCAAAGTGAATTATGAAATTGCTACTTTTTCACTCCTAGGACTAAGGAATGAATCTACCTAAGTTTGATCACTACTTATTTTCTAGACGATATAACCATATGAAGTGACATATATAAATGTATGATTGGTTAAGTTGTGGACCTCCGAAAGGTTACATAGGGCAACAAAAGGATTCTAACTTTTAAGATACCGGTTTGATCATTTTTGGTAGTCAGACGGATTAATAAGAAGTGTTTGACTTAAGTACCTAGACAATCATTAAGTAATTATGAGTTCTTACTTAGCCATTGTCTTAAGTTTCTTTGATAATTTAGAATGCCTAGATACGAGTTAACCAACAACCCTATACAATTGATTACGTTAAAGTATTTTACGCTTCCGCAATTATGTAACGAATTATGTTAAACATATTGTGTGTTTAAAATTTTAAGTTTGTATTTTCAAGACATAAGTTATTAAGAATGACGTCACGACACTCGAAAGAAAAAAAAATCGGGGCGTGACAAGTTGTATTAATTCTAAATTTGGGGCAACATCTAAGGAAGGAACAAGAATCTTCCTATCCTCAGTTTCTAAAACTTCAAAAGCAGCAGATTCTTGTGGTATTTCTATATCCTCAAAATCTTCCTTTTCATCACTATCAGTCTCAGATAAACCTAAGATTTCCCCCAAACGTTTCTTTTGACACCTGGTTTCTATCAGACTCGAAACAGAACATTCTTCTCTTTCTTCCGGGTACCTAAGGGAATTAAAAACATTAAAAGTCACTTGTTGATCTTGGACTCTCATGGTTAATTCTCCCTTCTGTACGTCTATCAAGGTGGTACCAGTAGCTAGGAAAGGTATCCCTAAAATGATGGGAATGTCTTTGTCGGCTTCAAAGTCTAGAATGATAAAATCAGCTGGGAAAATAAACTTATCAACCTGAACTAGGACATCCTCAATCTTTCTTCTGGGATAGGCTATGGACTTATCAGCTAACTGAAGAGTTACAGTTGTAGATCTAGCTTCACCTACGCCTAGAGTATTGAAGACATATAAAGGCATCAGGTTTATGCTAGCACCTAAGTCACATAGAGCTTTTCCTATTTCTTTTCCTCCAATTGAACAAGGGATTGTAAAACTTCCAGGATCTTTCATCTTAGGAGGAATTTTTCTGGACAACAAAGCACTGCAACCTTCAGTTAGAGCTACGGTCTCGTATTCAGTCAACTTTTTCTTTTTACTTAAAATGTCTTTTAAAACTTCACATAACTTGGCATATGCTCAATAGCTTCAACCAAGGGTATGTTTATGTGCAACTGTTTAAAAACATCAAGAAACTTTTTAAATTGTAATTCTTCCTTTTGATTCCTTAATCTTTGGGGATAAGGAATATAAAGAGTGAGTGGAATAGGAGACGTAGTCTTTTGAAGAGTTGGTGCTGGAATCGGTTTCAAAACTGGTCTCACAATTGATTCAGTTCTATAAGGGATTATAGGACTGGTCTGGTCTTTTATTGCGGGATTGTCATCAGATTGTGACACATCCACTACAATACTTTCTTTGGGAGTCTGAGTTGTCTTGGGTTCATCAGGAAGTAACAGTGGAGATCTAATCGTTCAGGAATGGCCGTACTATCTATGGGCCTGACTATGGGTTGAGGTTCACTAGTACTCTCTGGATGGTTCGCAGGAATGGCAGTCAAAAATTCTGGTACAGAGGTAACAAAATCTTTTTCTACACTTTTCTTTTCAATCTTTGCTTTGGTTGGTTCTTTTTGTTCTTTTTGGGTGTTTTCTAAATAACTTTTTCCACTCCTTAAAGTAACAACCTTAACATGCTCTTTCCCTTCCTTTGAGGTATCTTTGTATCACTAGGTAGAGAACCTACTGGTCTTTTTCTAATCTCCAAAGCCATTTGTCCTATTTGAGTTTCGAGATTTTTAATTGAAGCTTGAGTTTGGGTTATAAAACCCTTCATCATTGCTTCCAAAGAAGTAGATGACTCAGCTTGCAGTTTGGGCTTGCTTTGGAAAAAAGACTGATGATTCTGAAAATTAGCATGTTGATTATTATGATTGCCTTGATGCACTTGTGAGTGAAAATTAGATTGGCTTTGTTGTTGAAAATTGGACTGTCCTTGCGGTTGAAAATTGGACTGTCCTTGTGGCTTTTGCATTGGTGGGTTAAGAGCTGAACTATGCCAAGAAAAATTAGGATGATTTCTCCATCCCGGATTATAAGTATGTGAAAATGGTCCAGTCTTGTTGACATAATTTACATGCTCAGGATTTCCAGGACAATGCTCAAAAGAGTGACCTTCACCACAGTACACGCATTGCACAGACTGAACATGCGGGCTAGATGTTAAATTTGAAATTAGCTTAGTGATCTGAGCTGTTAATACCGAGACAACATCTACCTCATTTATTCCAGCTGTTTTCTTTAGTGGCATTGCACGTGGGTCAGACCATTGTCCGTTATTATTATAAATCTTTTCAAGTATGTCAAAACCTTCATTATAGGTACAAGTTGTGAAAGTTCCGCCTGCAGTAGCATCGAGCATTTGTCTAGCAACGATATTTAAACCGGTGTAAAATGTCTCTAGCTGTATACAGTACGGAATGCCATGGTGAGGGCATTTTCTCAACAGCTCTTTATACCTTTTCCATGCATCAGGAACTGCTTCATCATCCAGTTGTCTAAAAGTACAGATTTCATTTCTGGATTTGGCATTCCTCATGGGTGGAAAATACTTTTTCAAAAACTTTTCTGCCATTTCATTCCATGTAGTCACAGAGTCTGGTTGCAAAGAATTGTACCATGCTCTTGCTCGATCCCTTAGTGAAAATGGAAAAAGTTTTAGTCTCAGAGCAATGTCTGAAACATCAGGGATGAGAAAAGAGTCTGTGATTTCCATGAAAGAACACATATGAGAATGAGGATCTTCAGAAGATAAACCAGCGTACTGGCCGTTTGTTTGAAGCATTTGAAATATCAGTGGTTTTAGTGAAAGATGTTTTAAGCCTCATCCTCATGTGGAATATTTGGTTCATTTCTAATTATACCTTCTCCGTCAATAATCACATTTTCAGCCATCGTTTCAGAGTTTAAAGCTTGAAGAGCTCTTTGCACTCTTCTTCGTTGTCTGAAAGTTTGCTCAATATCCAGATCAAGTGGAAAAAATTCACCGTGCGACAGCCTTGACATATACGGTGCGTTCACAAAAAGATGGTAGAAAAACTAACTTTTATAAACTTTACTTTAAAAAGAAAAACTTCAGGTGCTGTCCCCGGCAGCGGTGCCAAGAACTTGCTCGTCGGTTTATTCAACCTTAGATTTCAACACAAAAATAGAACTCGGCGCAAGTATACACCTTGAACTACTGTCGTCTCATAACAAGTAATAATTGTATAAGTACCAGATATCGTTCCCACAGAGATAGCTTGTAAAGTTATTTCAAAAGTCCAGATTATAAACTCTAGTTTCAGATGGCGAAACGAGGGATTTGATTTATTTAAAATTGGGTGGTTTGATTAACAACTAAGGAAAATATCAATCTTAAAAAGAAGCACACATGGTGCAACAGTTGATTAAGACATTTAAACAAATGATTCAGCAAAAAGGTGACATAGCATTCCTGTCACAATTATCTAAAATCAATAAATGATTTTATATAACTATGACAGTATCAACTATCGGTTCAGATGGCCTCCCAAGAGCACACACCGGTCAACGTGTCGATACGATATCATTTATGTTAGACGTCATGAATCCTAGCACAACACAGTGTTACCATCCTACACCGTAGGAGTATAGCATTTGTCAGACACTAAAGCTATGTATAGCATTCTCCTATTACCTTAGGTTTTGAAAATCAATACATTATTATACACAAAATTAGTTGTCAATTAATTTTAATGTAATCATCAAATGAAATATTAAGCACCTG